CCTGTTACAAAAGCCTAAGACTTCAAAACAGGGTGGACTAAAAACACGGTTAAACATGTCCACCACAAAAATAGATGAAAGTCTACATAATAACACAATAACTAGAAGAATTTCTGCAACTATAGACATCAAAGTCTATATAGAAACTACAATAAGAACACCAATAACATAGAAAATCAGAGCTGTAACAACTACCATCAACATCTGAGCATTACTTTTCTTTGGTCCTTCCCGACGAATCCCTTTAATACACCACTGTAGGCTATCTACAACCTTCTGGAGCTCAGCAATTTCACAGTCATGATGGTTAACGCGTGCCCATACGATAGGGGGTCCACACGTTCTCCATCAAATCCAACAGTCATCAGGTCAATGCGGTCATCCTGCTGCATTTTATCACTTTGGAGGGATTGAATTTCTTCCAACAATGTTTCATCACACGATTTGAAGACATGTCTAGCAGACTTGAAAGAAGAACTATCTGACTATAAATTGACGAAAATAACCAGACTTTCAGCAACTTATATAGAGAATTTGACATAGTAAGAGCAAAGACGAGACACAAAATTAGGCCAATTGTTAGCTGTACAAATTAGGTATAGTAAGAGCTAAGAAGACAACCAAAATTATGGTGGACATGAATGACATTCTCAAAAGACAACCGAAATTACTTACCTCTTTCAATTGGCAGGTGTAAAACCGACGCCCAAAATCTAACTCCGACTTTGATGTTCAACTGAAATATTTGCGCCACAGATGCATGTACTAGGAATCCCGATTTGGTCGTTGAATAAATAGCAGCTGTAACTTTCGACGAGCGATGCAGAAGAAGAAGGTTAACTATAGATGTACCTCCCTATAGTTGATAATGTTAGCAAACCACGAAATTAAGTTTGAGAAGAACAAGTCTAAATAAATTTGAATAGGGTCTACTGCATCGGTAAATGGTTTGTAAATATAATATGTTTAAGAGCTAAACTATTAGAAATGACGGGAAAACACCCGCCCAAAAAGAGCACAAGTAACAATGCAACTAAAAATATATCTGGTGTTGATTAGATGTTGCAGTCCATTTCACTTCCCAATACACGCAACTTCTCTGTTAATTAAGGGATAAACAGCATCAACTTTCGACCACATGTTTCAGCTTTTACTTTTTGTTTTACAATATTAAAATGCTATCAAGGAGAACTAATCGTGGGTGGACAGCTGTGTACATGTCTTATTATCAATTTTATATTTTAAAATTAAAGTTGGTCCATGGAACAAAAAGTTCTCTTTATAACTAATCTGTAAGTAAGTGTAATTTAGAAAAGAACAAAAATGGAGAAGTTTTCTTTGTTGTTCTCACTTCCAGAATCTCTTCAAATATCCATTGCTATTCTCGTGGCCAAAAGTGGGGCAACCCAGCTCCGTCCTCTCATTGTATCAAGGAGACAAGGTTATGAACTCGCTTTTCATTCAAATGTATTAAGGGCTGAATCACTAGACTATCCAGCAGTAACTCCCATTCTTGTCAACGAAGATTCGACGTTCCGGTCCTTCATATGTCGTTGTGCTCTTGCTAGGAATCCTAATGCGTTTTATCTGGAGAGCCTACGACTAACTATTCAATATGGAGCACTTGAAAAAAGTGCTCAACTCCTACGTAACATTGTTGCACCAAGTCAAAAAATGTCTTTTGCATTTGCCCTCATTCTCTTTTCTTCTCACCGATATAATGAAGCAGTGGCAGTAATGAACAAGTTTAAGGAAGTTGCTGGGTCATTTGACGAAGATGTCTTTGTCTGTCAGTGCGTTTACTGGGACATTGAGTCTATTGGACCTCTTAATAGGGTTTTATTCACTACGACATGGCAACAATACATGCTTTTCCCCCCCAACTAGTGCTGAAGGTTGCCCGCAATGTATTATGGCGGAATCGTGTTCAACATGTTGTCAATGGTGGCATGAACCTTTATGGCCGCCTATGGTTACATATCCTTCAGACCGGACTGCTGGGTGCGAGTTTGCTTTAGTAAATCCTGCTTGTGATCAGTGCATGCAATGGTGGTCTCCTGAATTGTAATATTGATATTCCTTTTGTTGCTCATTAATTAGGGGATGTTATTTATTGTCCACTTGTATTGCAATTTGCTTCAATATATTTGTTGACTATGGAAATGTGTCGACTGTACACACGATAATCCAGAAGTTGTCGTCGACAAGTAATCCAATAATTGTCGTCCACAGATAATCCACAAGAAAAAATGAGGGTTGAATCACATTATAAAAAAGTGTCCACGACAAAGTTTACAAAAATTGGTCCACAGATATAGAAAGTTGGCCACCAATATACGAAGTTGTCCATCAGTATACTGTATTGGTTAATTGTGGACAAAATATCGTACACACGGTAATCATTGTATTGTACATTATTGTCTACAAGTAATCCAGAAGTAGTCATCCACAAGTAATCCAATAATTGGCGTCCACAGGTAATCCACAAGAAAAAACAGTGAGGGTTGAATCGCACTATAAAAAGGTGTCCACGAAAAAGTTAACAAAAAGTGGTCCACTAATATAGAAAGGTGGCCACCAATATATGAAGTTGTCCATCAGTATACTGTACTGGTTAACTGTGAACGAAATATCGTACACGGTAATCATTGTATTGTACATTATTGTCTACAAGTAATCCAGAAATTGTCGTCCACAAGTAATCCAATAATTGTCGTCCACAAGTAATCCACAAGTAAAAACAGTGAGGGTTGAATCCCACTATAAAAAGTTGTCCACCAAAAAGTTTTAAAAAATTGTTTCACTAATATAGAAAGTGGGCCACCAATATACGAAGTTGCCCATCGCAATGCAAAGTTGTCCATCAACAATGGTACAGACACTGAAGTACATTTAGGGAAGAGAAAGAAAACAAAATAACATTGTTATTGAGTACAGACAGAGATTATACATAACATAACCTTAAAGCCAAAAGATTGTTTTGGCAATAAAAGTAAGTTTAGAGATACACCACAAGTTCAAAAGTACGTTGAAGGTAAGTTTGGTGATAGAGCCTGA